GGCACCAGGAGCTGCTGCCTTTTGTGGTTTTTAAGAGTTTAGACTCCATGAGGCGCCTGGGTGGCTCAGTCATTGTTAAGCGTGTCTGCCTTCGGCTCGGGTCATGATCCCAGGGTCCTGGGATCGAGCCCGGCATCGGGCTCCCTGCTCCGCGGGAAGCCTGCTTCTCCCTCTCCCACTCCCCCTGCTTGTGTTCCTGCTCTCGCTGTGTCTCTCTGTCAAATAAATAAATAAAATCTTTAAAAAAAAAAAAGTTTAGATCCCATAGGCATATTTGAATGCATGAACTCCATTTGCCACCACCCTAGAAGATCCCTCCTTTCTTGTGTGCTGGAACCTGGAACCTCACAGGTTCTGCTTCTCCCCATTTCCAGCAAAGTAATGGTGCTCCTTCCTTTTACTCTGCCAAGGACCCTTTCCAGTCTGTGTGTAGAATGCATGCATGACAACTGAATGCCAGATATTGAGGATTTGAGTCATGGCATCAGGGAGCACAAGGCTGGGCTAGCCAAACTCCTAGGATGTCATAGGCTTTAGCATCTCATGGACTTCTGGCTCTAACACTGTGTGTCCCCATTTTAGAAGGAGGCCCTTTAACGGTCCTCCTGAAAGAGAGGTGGCCAGGGAAGTCATCCGGACTCTAAACTGGAGAATCCCAACACTTCCTGCTCTGTCCCCTATGCTGGATGGACCAGTGCATCCAACACAGGAGTCAGTGCCTTCCTGCCACAGTTACCCCAGGCCAGTCATCTGTTCCCACTGTCACTTGTCCTTGCAGCTGAGCCATATGGAGAAGGCAAATTCCTAGCCATTAGTGCAGCACTCGAGACCTTTTACTGTGGATGACCCAGACAAACATCAGCAACTCAGATCCTCAGCAGCAAACACCTCAGTAGATGGCAGAGTCCCCAGTCAATCTTCCTCACCTGGAGGGATTTCAGAAAAAAACATTCATCCTCAGAAGCAGCGCTGTCCCCTCTCCAGATTTCAATCATTTGCATACCAGAGAGTTACTACGTCCGTATGAGTCTTACACCCCCAAAATGTGACTCTTACAACCCAGTGTAGCCCTCTCTGCCCTCTTCTAGCACCACCAGCAGAACAAACCATTTTCTAACAGAACTCTGGATTTTCTCACCCGCGCCCCAGCATGCTCAGTTAATGAGATTATTTCTGGCAAAAATCCTGGCAGTCAAGTTTGACCTCCTGCTCAAGCCAGTAGAAAAGCCACAGCCAACAAAGTCAAAACCTGGAGACTCTAATTGGAAACTTCATGTGAGTCTCTTCTTATTGTCAGTGAGTTAACTTGGATCTCTTCCCTGTGACCACAGTGACCAGTTCTGTGGCCATGAAAGTAGACCTGACAGGCATATAGGTCAAATCCTGGCTAGCAGGAATCCTTCCCAGCTTCCCAGCAGTGCAGCTTTTCATATGCAGCTTGTCATTCCCTTCTGTCCCGGTGGTGGTTTCTCCTCAGCTTACCAGCCTCCCTTTGTACTCTCAGGGAAGGATCCTTAGGATCTGATTCCAGCCCAGAGCTTTTCAAGTGTTTCCTGGAACCTGCTTCCAGCCCTGGCCAAGCAGAACGAGTACGGCTTGTTGCTCCCTCCAGGTTTCCTCCACCTTATAGAATCCCCGTGAAAATACATCCATCCCCAAAATGCCAAATCTAGTCTCTCTTCCCTGAATCCCAATAAGCAAGTCTTCTCCCACCCCCAGGCCAAGAGCAGACCAGAGGGTAGAGGGGAAAGTGGGTAGGGCAGGCCAAAGAGGGCTCAGGTGTTTATTTGGAGCCTGGCGGAGCAAAAGAAAGTATTGTCTGCCCCAGCCAGACACCTCATTTGCCCTTCTGCTCTGGAGCACTGAGGGACAAAGTAGAGTGTTAATTAGAACTAAGACTGTCGGGATGCCTGGGTGGCTCAGTCGTTAAGCGTCTGCCTTCCGCTCAGGTCATGAACCCAGGGTCCTGGGATCGAGCCCCTTTTCGGGCTCCCTGCTCCGCGGGAAGCCTGCTTCTCCCTCTCCCACTCCCCCTGCGTGTGTTCCCTCTCTCGCTGTGTCTCTCTCTGTCAAATAAATAAATAAAATCTTTAAAAAAAAAAAAAACTAAGACTGTCTTCAGAGCAGTGCAGTATCTCTGGAAACTAGGGAGAGACTGGGTGAAGGAAGAATAAATGTAAGAGTCTAGATAGGCGATGATGAGGCAGACTCACGGCTGTAGAGGGATAAAGGGTAAAAAGGAGCTTTTGGAGGTCCCCTGAGAAGCTAGCCAAAGAAGTATTTCCTTTGTTCTTTTCTGGTCAGTCTTATCTCAAGGGTGGATCCTGATTGACAGTCACACTCCAGGACCATCCCCAGCCCTAGGGACTTTCACAGCCTGAGTAGTATCTGGGCCTCCTTCCCATTCCTTTCACTGAAGAAAACAGATGGCTCTGAAGCGTAAAAAGGAGGCCGGCCCCAGCCCCATTCTGTAACTTCTGTTTAATACTTATCAGAACACCATGCTGGGCGCTTTCTCTCCATCATCTTATAGAATTCCTACTTGATGAGGAAACTAAAGCCCAAAGACATGAAATAATCTGCTCAAAGGCAAATTAGAACTTAAGTCCTTCTGACTCAGAAGGTCTTTTCTCATTGTCACCTTTTCTTCCTCCCTTTCCTATCTTTTCCTTCTCTGAGTTTGCCTCCGTCCAACATGGTGCCATAACAGCAAACTTGGTGAAAAGCCGAGACCGAGTTTTCCCTTCCTATGGGGAAAGTTAGAGAAATAGGCCTGAGGATGCTCTGGATCCCTAAGCGCCCTTGCCGTAACGCACCGAATGTGTCAGTTACACTCTCGACAAAGAGGTTGGGGGCCTTCTCTTCTGTATATGCTCCATTTCCTACATCTGCTCTCTCACATAACCCCCAAAACACACGCACATTCAACCAACTATTACTGCCTCCCATATTCTAGGCTAGAGGTGTAAAGATGAGTCAGATTTGCCTCTTGCTGTCCAACGGCCCCCAGTACAGAAACAGACAAGTAAAGAAAGAATTATGGAAAAGTTTCTCAGGTATGATGGTAGGAGACTGTCAGGGTTAATTAAGGACATAAAAGAGAAATCGGTCAGTTCTGGCCCAAGGAAGGAATTAATGCTAAATCTTGAACTTTTGGGCTGTTTATCAAATACACAAAGGGAAGAACCTCTCAAGCAAAGGGGAACCCATGTAAGCAAGCACTTGAAGGCAAAAAAAATCCTATGTGTTGGAAACTGCAAACCATTTGCAAAATCTAGAATATAGGGCACAAGGGAGATATAGCAAGAAGCAAAGCTGAAAAGTGGGTAGAACGGAAGACGTGTCTGAATTCTTAAGGTCTCCAAAGCTGCAGTCAGAAACCCCCTTAGAGGCTTCAGCCTATGGGCAATATGAACAAACTCAAACATTTCTCTATCAATCTTGGTCCCATCATCAAGGATCTTCATTTTGCTGCACCAAAGCCTTCTAAGACTGAAGTAGAGCATCAGGAAAGCCAATTTGGGCAGCCTGGCCCCCAATCCCTATCCGGGTCACATTCAAGCTCCCAAGTGTGACAAGAAACATGTTGGATCCTTAGAAACCATGGGAAGCTTGCCCAGAAAGAATCCATTTCCAGCCAGCTGGTCAGCTTTTTCTGTCTGAGCCAATAGAGGGCAGGAAAACTCTCCTGTCTCCTGCATGTGCCCCCTACCTCCAGGCAAGAAATAGATAACATGCCCCTGAGTCCCCCTACCCCTTCCAGACCATTTGTTCACTGCCTCCATTCTATTGCTCTTATTCCTAGAAAACTAACCCTTTTCTCACCCTTCACCCCATCACTGGTCAACTTCCATGGTGCTCCCCTAAATATATTGAGGGCTCATAGTCTTCCTCTTCGCTCCTTCTCTTCAAAATATCTTGGACTACTTACACTCAGCTTTACAATTCTCTGAGCTTCTCGACTCTTACCAACCCTCATCTCCTTTCAACTTTCGCTCTCCACTTAATAATCATACCCCGTCCTCCTCACTACCCGGGACCTCTGAAATCTTCCTGTGCTGGTAGCTGTGGTAGACACGGGGGTAGAAACGTAAATACACTGGCCCCCCTTGAGATTCTTAATGGGAAGCATAGGAGAATGAGATAATGACGTAGAGACAGAGGTATGTATCAGGTAGTGTTTTCACAAAGCGGGAAATGGACAGTTTGGAAGGGAAGGCGCCACTAATAGTGGAGGTGCTTGATTAGGGCATTTAGGGCAAGAGTGTGATGGGATGAGGGGCAAGAAAGGCATTCTAGACAGAGGGAACAGCCTGTGCAGAGGTCTAGAGCTACAAAATGGTATGGCTTGTAGGTATAATTGCAAAATGGTGGAACATGAAGCTGGAGAGGTAGGCAAGGATCAGGTCAGGGAGGGCCACATTTTGGACTTTACAAAATAATGGCCACTGCTTATCCACCACTTGAGGATTCTTTAAGTCTTTGAATTCTCACAACAACTCTGCAGTAGGTGGTATTATGTCCATGTTATATGTGAAGCATCACCCCTTCTCCTTTGGATATCTCCATTTAACTGTTTAGTGCCACTGCTTCTCACCCTTTTCCCCCACCCCCTACCATTTGGCCACACCACAGTATTTCATGTTTGCCTTCCTTGTATTTTTGTACCTTTGCTCACGTTGTTCCAACAGCCTAGAATGCCTTCCCTTTGATACACTGCCTGAAAAGACTCTATTCATCCTGTAAGACCCATCCAGTTCCCCTCCTATGTGAAGTCTCCCGGAAGCTAGGTTTAAAAAGAGTGAGTCCCTTCCTCCTGTGTGAGAAAATGCTGTCTCTCCTATAATCCCTTTAGCAAATTGTATTCCCAATATTTTCTCAAGAGCAGAGCCACATAGGAGACGAATAAATGTTTATGAACATAGAAATTAGAAATAATTTGGTTTGAAATGACACCTTTACTGCCAGTTCTCAAACAACTTTTTTCTTCTCTTTTGTAGCCAAACGAGTGAACGAGGTGATCGTGGGGAGTGACCAGCTCATGGAGATCTGAGTTCTGAGCAAGTCAGACTCCTTTCTCTTGGCCCTCAGAACTACAGATGTTGGCTGGCCCACCTGTTTGACTCTGTATTTATTTCCCAATAAAGAAGGGCTCCCATGGGGTGCCTGGCTGGCTCAGTCAGTAGAGCATGAGGCTCTTGATCTCGGGGTTGTGAGTTTGAGCCTCACGTTGGGTGTAAAATTTATTTAAATAAACTTTAAAAAGGACGGGGGGGGCATTCCCAAAGGTATGCCGGAGACTTGAGTAGTCCCAAGCGCCGGGTTTGAGTCACGTGGCAAAAACCATCTAGAGCCAGTGTGTAGAACAGGATAAGACGCAGTGGCCTGGCTCTTGTGTACTGTGCTTATCAGGCAGGGGCGGCAGGGTAAAGCTCTTAGGAGGACTGCTTTCTGACTGGTTGGCCCAGCCTAGCCCATAAAAGCGTCTTCCACCTGAAAGGACCCAGAAGTACTTCAGTTCCTGACCCTAATCAGGCTTTCTAGACCCATAGGCCCAGCTGCTGGCAGTGCCACCTCGTACATGAGGCTCCTTCTCCAGCTGCCAATTTGGGCAGCCTGGCCCCCAATCCTTAGTCCAGGACTTAATACTCTACTCTGTTCCACAGATTCCCAGGCCCTGCCACCTCCCCACCTCCAGCCTCACCTGCCATTCACTCCCTACTTCCCAGTCACTAGTCAGGTTTTCCATGTCAACTGTTGACTTTTGGAGACTTAAAACAGGCAGGAGGCAGCCCTGGCCTAGGCATCAAGCCTAACTCCACTGGTCTTAGCGGAGGCAAGAGCAATAAAAGAAAGCCGTGGGGCACCTGGGGGGCTCAGTCAGTTAGGCGGCTGACTTCAGCTCAGGTCATGATCCCAGGGTCCTGAGATCGAGCCCCGCATCAGGCGCCCTGCTCGGCGGGAGGCCTGCTTCTCCCTCTGCCTGCCGCTCTTTCTGCTTGTGCACATGCGCGCTGTCTCTCATCAAATAGGTAAATAAAATCTTTTTTAAAATAAATAAAAATAAAAGAAAGCCATGATCTATGAAGCCAGACAGACTCCTTCTCACCTCCCCTTAGTGAGGAGTCTATGGTCTATTCAACCTGGTAAGTAAGAGCCAGGAAGCTTTATCATGATTTGAGTCTTTCTGACTCTTCTCCAGCTGCACTCCTTTATATCCTAATTATACTGCCTCTCCTGCTTCAGATAATTAAGAAGTAAGACTTCCATACTCATAGCCCTTCTGGAATCCTGTCCGCCTTCCCTTTACCACCCCCACTCCCAAACACACGCATCCTGGGCTCTTGCCTCCCCCTGCACTCCTTTACAACCTGCAGGTGTTTGGTGGAAGATAAAAGTGGTTCCTGGGGTGAGATTTTACCTCCTAGAATTATCAAAGTAAAGGTTTCCCTTGATGTGCTCACTGTGGGTGGCAGTAATTATAAAGAATGATTTGAAATACTGGTTTCCACGTTGCTTCAAAAATCCGAAGTCTCTAAAGTTCATTGGTGTAATCTTGCTTGAATCTTAGCGCTGGTCTCATTGAACTCGTGAGAGACTGGATGAGCATTCCTACCTGGGGGGATCTCCACCTCCACCAGCCTTCTTGGGAGCCTCGAGCTCCACATTCCTACCACTGGTGGGGACAAGGTTCCTGAACGCTTGTCCTCATCAGACAGGAGCCAAAATGGCCCAGCAGAAGTGGTTGAAAGAGATAGGACTGCGGGGGAGGGGGAGCGGGAGTAAAGAGCTGTGCAGTGCCCCGGCGGCGGGGGGGGGGGGGGGGGGGGGGTGTCCCCTATTGAAATGAAATCTGTGGAGCTCAGATGACACTGGCTGAAAGGAGACCTGCCCTCCGGAATGTTGCTTGGCTTTGGCCCAGTCGCCACCTCTCCTCTGTCCCTGTGTTTCCACATCTGCAAAATGGGAAAGTTGCACTGGACAACTTCTAAAGGCTCTTCCTATTCTCAAGTTCTGTCCCCTCTCTCAGAGCTTTCTGACCCTTGGGATCCAGGTGGCCCAAGAGGCCAGAAGGCTGCTCCTTGTGAACAGAAAGGGGATGAAGCTGGATAGGTTTGGAAGGAGGTAGGTGGGGGACAAGAAGGGATTGAATAAACTGTCCCAGAGCCTTCCCGTACCCCTTCCTGATCTTCCCCACGGAGCCCTTGTGGAATCCCTGACTGCAGGATAGAGGAAAGACCTCTCCTCCACCTTTCCTTGCACAAGCCCATGAGCAGCCCTGCTCCAAGAAAAGGAGGGAGCTGGAGAAAACAGGACAAGGTAAGGGTTTCCCTGGGGAAGGCCTCGCTTAATTTTAAGTCCCAGCTGGAAACAACCCCAGCCCAGGACACTGATGCTATTGTCTCCAAAAACACCAGGATTGACTGGGTGCCCAAGATGCTTTCATTTCTCTTCTCTTTGCTCTATTTGCCAGAAGGCAGGGACCGTTTTTGTTTCCTTTTGGCAGCAGCTACAGAGAGTTTGAAAGTATCTAAAAGATAGTGAGCAAATGAATTTCCACTGGCCAGCCACCTCTCCACGGGGCGGAAGCCAGAAGAGCCAGGCAGGTAAAGGGGTCGCCTGCCCCGCCTCTCTCAGGGATGCTCCGTGAGGGAAGTGGAGGTGAGAAGGAAGGGGGCTTTCAGTACCAATCAGGGAGGACTCTGGGGAGGTGTTGGGCAACAACACCTGGAGTTCTGGGAGCTTGCCAGGTCAGACAAAATTTGATATCTACTACTCCAGGAACCCCTCCCCCAGTAACACCTCACCCTCACCTGCTGGCAACAGCTCCTGAGCCAGTAAGGGGACTGACTGCCAAGACTGCCCTCCAAGCTTTTTCCCAAGGCCAGAGGCTGAACTTCTTCCCAGTCCTTCACCACATTACTCTTCCTATCCTGCTCCCATCCATGGAGGTGGCGGGGAGGGGGTTCATGGGGAATTGTCTTTAGCTGGAGCCCCAGGAGCAATCTAGGGACCTGCAGAGCCTAGTTTATAAGCTGTTTCTATTTCCAGAGAACCGCAGAAAGCACACTTTCTTTATCCACAGCCCTCCCTACCCCTAAGGAGGTACATAAGCCAGGCCTTTGTGTGCTGTTTTCTAAATAGTTAAATGTGTCTGAGGAAGAGGGAGTGGGTGTGGGAAGGACCACCCAGACACAAGGTCTAGAAAACTTAGCTCTGATGGAGCTCACAGGGAAGGAAAGAGGCTGGGCAGGAGCACACATTCTACTTGAAGCCGGGATGACTTGTCCTCGACCTGAGCCATCTGCCGCCACCCAGAAGGACTGCATAGGGGCTTTTCTGCTATAGATAAATGGGGGAGATTCGGCTTTGATTCTCAGCCTCTATTCTTACTCCACCTTCAAGGTAAAAGGCCATTTTCTGATCTCTGGTTGCAGCCTCTGACACTAGAGACTTGACAGGTGCTATTGGCCTAAAGCTGCCTATAGGGAAGGGGGTATATAGTCCCAGGCTTGGCCATTAAACATAATGGATGGCAGGGGGAGTGGGGGAGTTGGTGGTGCCAGGGCTCCTTGCTTCCCTCTTCCACATCTCAGGGTTACTGACTCTGCTGGGCCCAGATAACCAAAGCCGGCCCAAAGCATGAGTGAGAAGCCTGGGGGAATGCCAAGGAAAGAAGGCCTGCCCTAGTTCCTCCCACATGGACCCTACCCTGAAGCCAAGCTAGTCACTTTCCAACACTGTGTGTGTGTGTGTGTGTGTGTGTGTGTGTGTGTGTTACCTCACTTTTCCTGGCACTGTTCCTCAGCCACATATATTATCTCATTTAATCCTTATGTCAATGTCAGAGATCATATGACTTGCCCAAGCTCTCATAAGCAGACCTTGAACCAATGTCTTCTTTTTGATTTGATAATCCTCCCACCTCTCCCATCCAATCCCTCTAACTTAAACCTCCCTGAGTGTTCCACCTCACAGTAGTTTCCGCTGTGGTCTTTGTGCTCTCCCCTAGGCTGTGAACTTCGAAAAAGCAGGTACCCTGGGACGCCTGGGTGGCTCAGTCGTTAAGCGTCTGCCTTCGGCTCAGGTCATGATCCCGGGGTCCTGGGATCGAGTCCCACATCGGGCTCCTTTCTCAGTGAGGAGCCTGCTTCTCCGTCTCCCTCTACTGCTCCCCCTGCTTGTGCTCTCTCTCTCTCTCTGACAAATAAATAAATAAAAATCTTTAAAAAAGAAAAAAAAGAAAAAGCAGGTACCTGCAAATCCAGAGCTTAGCAAAGGGGTGGACACATAACAGACCTTAAGGGATTTTTGTCTCGATCAGTAGTTAGATTTACTCCTTGGTGATAATGAATTAATTAGATTGCTTTTCTTTTTTGTTATTCTTTGGAGAACTTCTCTGGTTTGAGCCCAAAACACATTCCCAGATCCAGTGGAAGTGACACTGGACCAGGCTGTTCCACAGTGAAGCAGGCTACTTATAGAGAGAGAAGAGGCGCTTCTGCCTCCCTTCCTGTTCCCTGGGGTCTGTGGCTTTAGCTGGCCCTGGCTGAGCTCAGCTGCACTCAAGAAATCACTTCGTTGGGGAAAAGAAAGGTCATCTTGGAGCTTGGAGCGGCCAGAGGGCACTAGGCCCTGGGTTGGAATGGTTAGAACTACAGACCAGTTTCTCCCACACTGGGTCTTTGGACTTTGGCAAGAAGTTTTCCCAGCAGGCAAGCCCTACCCTGGAAGCATCCACAGAAATGCTGGGCTTCACCACAGTTGTTAGCAATGGTGGGCCTGTGGTAGAAGCAGAGTCCCAAGGTCCAGACGATTACAAATCTTTCTCCATGGACTTGGGCTTGCAGAGTCTGGTTAGAGGGAAGGAGGTCTCAAGAGCTACTTACAGCAAAGTCTGTCTGCTTGGGTACCCAGCCATACTCAGCTGGATTGCCCCAAGAGCAATCCAGGGGCCCATACAGCTAGTTTAGAGGCTATTTCTATACCCAGAGAATTGCTGAGGGTACACGTTCCTTTTTTTGTTTTTTTTTTTCCGGAAAGAATTTATTTATTTCTTTGACAGAGAGCGGGAGAGACAGCAAGAGAGAGCACAAGCAGGGGGAGGAACAGAGGGAGAGGGAGAAGCAGGCTCCCCGCTGAGCGGGGAGCCCAATGCGGGGCTCGATCCCCGG